CTGACTCATAGCAACCCCTCCTTGGGTTTCTGAGGCAGTACCACTACGGAAGTGATTGCCCAACCTTCCTTCCAAGGAGTGGCTGGTGGGTTTGAACCGCCAGCCTTCTGGTTAGCAGCCGAGTGCCTTAGGCACTGCGCCACCAGGGCTCCTCCAGAAACTAGGAGAGAGGCTCCCAGAAGGAACGGACTCTGATTTGGACTTTGAGCCTCCAGGACTCAGAAAACAGTTTTGTTCTTTAAAGCGCCCTCTTGGGGCATTTCTGTTATGACAGCACTAGGAAAGGAAGGTGCTTGTTAAGGGTTTGTGAGATCTGTCTGTTCTTGAGTCATTATAGGAAGTTTCTGTGTTTCTAGAGATATGTCCAGTTCATTTGTGTTATCTAATTTCTCAATGTGCAGTTGTTCATAGTACGCTCTTTTCCTTTTTATTTCTGTAGGGTCAGTTGTAATGTCTCCACTTTTATTTCTTATTTTAGATATTTGTACCTTCTCTTTTTTTTCTTTGTCAGTCTAGCTAAAATGTGCTTATTTATTGATCTTTTTTAAAAAAACCACCTTCTATCTTCACTGATTTCACTATAATTTTTCTGTTTCCTATTTCCTTTATTTCTGCTCTGACCTTTTTTATTCTTTCTGATCATTTGGGCTTGGTTTGCTTTTCTTCTGGTTCCTCTATTTTAACGTTAGGGTGCTGATTTGAGATCATCTGTAATGTGGGTGTTTAGCTATCATTTCCCCTCTGTGCAGTGCTTTTACTGTATCCCATAAGGTTTGGTATGTTGTGCTTTCCTTTTCACTCAGCTCTGAAGTATTTTCTCATTTTGCCCTTGATTTCTTCTTTGGCCCATAGGTTGCTTAATAGCATAGTGTTTAATTTACATATATTTGTGTATTTTCCAATTTTCCTTCTGTTTTTAATTTCTAATTGCACTCTATGGTGGTTGGAGAACATACTTTGTATGATTCCAGTCTTTGTAAATTTATGACACTTGCTTTGCAACTTACTTGTCTGGTCTGTCCTAGAGAACGAGCCATGTGCACTGGAGAGGAACGGTTAGTGTACCTTGTTGGGTAGAATGCTTGACATATGTCTGTAGGTTTAGTTGGTTTACAGTGTTGATCAGGTCCTTTGTTTACCTACTGGTCTTCTTTTTAGGTTTCTGTCCATTACTGTGGTGAATCAAAGTCTCTACCGTGACTGTCTCTCTCTCCCTTCCAGTCTATCAGTGTTGGCTTTGTATATTTTGGGGCTCTGATACTAGGTGTATGGAAGGTTGGGCAATCCTACTTCCGTAGTGATACTGCCTCGGAAACCCAAGGAGGGGTCGCTATGAGTCGGGGCCGACTCGACGGCACATAACAACAACAACAACATAATCATAATTGTTACATCTTTTTGAAGAACTAACCCTTTTAGCTCGGGACCATGGTTACAGGGGACATCAAGCTCAACTGGCATAACATACTGCACAAAAACATTGTTCTGCATCCTACTTTGGCGAGTAGTGACTGGAATCTTAAAAGCTTGCAAGTGGCCATCTAGATGCAGCGATGGAGTGCACGTGAGGGAAGGACTCAGGGAAGAGGTAACTATGGAGAGGAAGTGGGGGAGCTATTGCGTTGTGGGAAATTCCAGTCAATGTCATGAGACAAAGTTTATGTGAACTGATTTATGGACAATGAATTTGCTCTGTAAACTTTCACCCAAATCACAATAAAAATAAAAAATAAAGAATTGACCCTTTTATCATTATATAATATCCTTCTTTGTCTCTTATAACTGGTTTTGACTAAAGTCTTATTTGTCTGCTATTAAAATCATCACCCCCACTCTCTTTTGTTTACTCTCTGGTGGCATAGTGCCTAAGGCATCTGACTGCTAACCAGAAGGCTGGCAGTTCAAACCCACCAGCCACTCCCTGTAAGGAACATTGGGCAATCTACTTCCGTAGTGATATCACCTCAGAAACCCAAGGAGGGGTCGCTATGAGTCGGGTCCGACTCCACGGCAGTGGTTGTGTTGGTTTTGCATTTGTTTGCATGACATACCTCGTTCCATCCTTTTGTTTCCAACTGTTTGGTTCATTGGCCTAAGATGTATCTCTTGTAAACTGCATATAGTTGGATCTTTTTTTTTTTAATCCATTCTTCCACTTTCTGTCTTTTGATTGGAGCAGTTAGTCCATTTACATCATTCATGGTAGTTACCAATAAGGGAGACCTTACTTCTGACATTTTGTTACTTGTTTTTTTATGTATCTTACACAGTCTTAGAAGCTTTGGTGTGTAGTTAAAGCATTCGACTGCTAACCAGAGCGTTGATGGCTCAAACCCACCAGTTGCTCTTCAGGAGAAAGAAGAGGTAGTCTGCTTTTGAAAAGATTTACAGCCTTGGAAAATATGTGGGGACAGTTCTACTGTGTCCTTAAGGGTCGCTATGAGTCAGAATTGATTTGTTGACAGTGGGTTTGGTTTTGTTTTTACACATTCTTTGTCCCTCATTTCATCCAATACTGCCAACTTGTGTGTTTTACTGGTTTATAATGAACTGTTTTGATTCCATTCTTTTATGTGTATTTTTAAGATATTTTCTTTGTGGTTATCAGGAGGATTATATTTAATATCCTGCATCTTTAAATCATGGTTTAAATTGATAACAACTGAAGGTTGGGCAATCTACTTCCATAGTTAATAGCCTCGGAAAACCAAGGAGGGGTTGCTATGAGTCAGATCTGACTCCACGGCAGTGGTTGCGTTGCGTTGCATTGAACTTCAGTAACATATAGTAACACTATTGCTATACCACTTTCCCCTTTCCCCTTTTTATCTTGCTGTTATTGCCTGTTAGATCTTTGTATATCATGTGCCTTGTAAAATAAATTTATATTTCTTTGTAAGGTGTCTGTAGATAAAGACTGAAGGACATGATAACTAGACTCACCAACCAAAAATGCTATAAAACTTATACACAGGTAGACAGGCGGTATGACCAGATATGTCTAGGCAAAAGGGAATATACCCATGATCATATATAAGCCTGGCAGACAATATTTCTACATACGCATTTGTATGTGGTGTAAGAATGTCCATATATATAGAACTAATGGGCCAAAGTTACGATAACTTCTTAGCCACAGCCAACCACCCTGAGGGAGTGAGTTGGTGGTCCTGTGGGCATGGTACCATGGTCATGGGGGACACCAAGCCCTATCGGTATAACACACTACACAAAAACTTTGTTTTACATTCTACTTTGGTGAGTAGCATCTGGGGCCTTAAAAGCTAGCAAGTGGCCATCTAGATGCAATGATGGGTGTCTCCTTATCCAGAGCAAAGATGGGTGAAGAAAACCAAAGACACATAGAAACAGTTAGTCCAAGGGAGTAGTGGACCATGAGAACCTCAGCCTACATGACCATGAGACCAGAAGAACTAGATGGTACTTGGCTACCACTGTCAACCACTCAGGAAGAGATCAGTGCAGGAGATCCTAGATAGAGTGGGAGGAAAAAAAAGACCAGCCTTACTGGTCTGATAGAGAATGGTGAAACCCATCCTTTGGGCCTGGAATTGAACTTATCCCCATGGCTTCCAGCCATACAATAGACAGACGTATAATGTGAATATTTACATTGGGTGGGTACACGCCTTAGAATCAACCATAGGAGATCAGAAGGGCAGTGTTTGCACAGGGAGACAGCTCAGAGGGTAGGAATGCATAAGAAAGGACACAGGAAAAAGGGAACCAAGGGGAGGAAGAGGAAGAGAGCTGTTACGTTATGGGAATTGCAATCAGTGTCATGAAACCAAATGTGTATGAGCTGCTGTATGGAAAATGAATTTGCTTTGTAAGAGCTCACCCAAATCACAGTAAAAAATATGGTGAAACTTGCCTGTATACTAGCCCGTCAGTTTCCTGTCATGGAGATCTCTGGTGTCCTTTCTTTTCTGTCTACAGGGTTCCTGTTAGTACTTCTTGTAGGCAAGTCAGGTGACTCTGAACTCTGTCAGAATATGCACCCTGAACTGTCCATCTCTAATAAGGTCTCTCCTGTTATTTTGGAGATAGAGACCAGGCCCTTCCAGTGCATAGGAGAGCCGGCTGTTGGCGGAGGAGTGGCTGCTGCTATGGTGTGAGGGGGGCGGGTGGTGACAGTGATGAAGCATTTACTATGGGATGACACTCAGCCTTGTCTTGATTTGTTGATGCGGGTTCTCACTATAGCCCTGCACCCACCTTTTCAGAGTGCTCACAGGGCTTTTAACTGCTTCTCCTGGTGTCCATGTGGGGAGATTCAGCATCTTAAACCCACTTGTGCTCATCTTCCTGGAGTTGTCTTTGAAACTTTTTAATCAAAATATGTAACATACATATAAAAACCAAAAACCAAACTCACTGCCATTGAGTTGGATCCGACTCATAGCGACCCCTCTTTCGGTTTCTGAGGCGATATCTCTACGGTAGTATATTGCCCAACCTTCCTTCTGAGGAGTGGCTGGTGGGTTTGAACCACCAGCCTTGTGGTTAGCAGTCAAATGCCTTAGGCACTACGCCACCAGAGTGTCTAACATACATATAGGCAACTCTTCAAGTGTGTGAAATTAAAGGTGCTTTGTAAATAAGAATCATAACTAGTTAAATTTGCCTAGGTGTTCTGAATTGTGTCACAACGGCACAAAGTAGCACTCAGTGCCACGTTAATTTCTGTCACTTCCTTGGCTTTTTAAAAATGTTCCAATGGGCTTCATATAATTGAGACAGCCGAATTCTCAAGCACAGTGAGTAACACATAGCCTTAAATATTTTTAATGACTCGTATCTATCAGAAGATTTTACAATTCTCGGCTGGTTGCTTAAAGCTTAGACTTTGATGACTATGCAGTAGTGGTGGTTTTGCACTGACTGGCAGTAAGTGGCCATTGGTATTGAATCAGTGGATTTAGGGGATAGAAATGATTTAAGTAACTCCAAATTTAATTCCTTTTGTATGCTTGTAGAAACTTCTAACAAAATAGGATTGTCTCATAAAGATAGAAAAAATCGCCCCATGCAGCAAGAGGACGAGTACCGAGTACAGATGGAGTTAAACCGCTATTACTTGAGAAAAGACTCTCTGTCTGGGGGTGTATCTTCAGAGCAAAGCTTTTATGAGACAGAAACAGCTCGCACACCCTCTAGCCGAGGTAAGACTGCCGTCCACTCCAGAATCCTGCCGTACCATCATAGAGCAGAGTACAGTTAAACTTTAGCTGCTGGGAAATGGAGCTTAGTGGTGAAAGGGCTGAGAGAGCCAGACGCAGGGAAGTTGAGTAAGCATGTGAGTGGCACCAACTGTGTTACAGTGAAGTGTCAGCCCACGGTGTCACAGTATCCTATTCTGATAGTGTGATTTTTGTTTTGTAAAGGATGACTTGTTCTAAAGAACAATGTATGTATGTATGTATGTTACATATTTTGATATGTATGAACAATGTATGTGTGAATGTTACACATTTTGACAAAAAAGTTTTAAACACATTTCTGATTTTAAAAGGTTGATTTGCACAAAAGAGAGCCTGGGGTTCATTACTCACTTGGAGCAAGTTTTACTGCTCGTGTGCTGGTTGGCAGTTCCTCCCTCCACTGTCAGCCTTTCCGTCAGTTATGTGGAAATAACATTTTTACCCATCTTACTTTGCGCTGACCCCTACTTTAGCACTATGCACTGTAAATAATAAAAGTAACTGTAAGTGTTGGATGTCCAGACCAATGAGAACTAGAAGCCTGCTGGGAAATGTTGGCCAGAACAGACTTCATTTGCTTAAAGGTGAAACACAGTCCTCAAAAGAGAGAACCGAAGCAAGTATAATTCTGACTAATATATTTGGCTCTTTTGTTTGTGTAAACAGTTAACTGTATCCATATGAAACTAGAGATTAGTGTTGTTGTTATTATGTGCCATTGAGTTGGACCAACTCATGGCGACCCCTCCTTGGGTTTCTGAGGTGGTATCACTACAGAAGTAGATTGCCCAGCCGTCATTCCGAGGAGTGGCTGGTGGGTTTGAACCTCCAGCCTTCTGGTTAGCAGTCAAGTGCCTTAGGCACTACACCACCAGAGACAGATTACACTATATTTATGTTATTTTAAGTCTGGATATTTAACTTCTGAGGTGACATGTGACACTTCCAAATGCACAGTGTAAGCGGCAGGCCCTGTGTTGTACAGACAAATTCACTGACAGGATAGCCAAACTTTTTGTTAACCTACATTCACTTCCCTTTTTGCTACATTGTTAACATCTTGGATCTAATCAGTTACTCCATTGGAAGTAATGAGTTGAGGTGGTAGAATTCACAAAGTTTCGTTTCCTCTAGAAGAAGAAGTTTTCTTCTCTATGGCTGATATGGACATGGCCCCCAGTCTCTCTTCTCTTCCACCTCTGGGAGACCCCCCAGACACGGACCTTGAGCTCTCCTTAACGAGCACACATACAAATGCCCCCGCAGGACCTCCACTGAGCGCTCCTGGGGTAAAGTATCACCTACTTTTTCTTGCTCTCATCTTGAAAGGCTGCTTCCCAAGGTCTGCACTGTTCTCATGAGTGTTCAAAAACCCTTTGGCAGCTGCAGCCCACCTGGGGAGATTTCCTCGATCGCCATAAAGAACATGCAGGAGGAGGGCCTCCGTTCCCACCCACCCCTGGCCACCCGAAGACTCGTAAGTAGATATGAGGCACGCGTTCCCGATTGCCTTAAGATTTGGTTTCTTTTATAAAACACCACTTTATTGCTTTTTATGTTTTCCTTCCACTCTTCCGTTTGTCTGGGCCGCTCGGTAGGTGTAGAAGCCAGTGGAGGCCGTGCTGAGCGGCCTCTGGGAACCGCTTTAGATGGAGCCTGCCCCTGTGCTCGCTGTCCGGAGGGAGAGGCTGTAGAAAGGATGCGCACCATGGCTCCTGTCAATCTTGCAGCTGGGCAGCTCCTTCAGGCACCCAACCTGTCCCCCGTCTGTACTCTCCTGGACAGGGAACCTCAGGTTCCTCTGCAGAACTTAACTGACCAGACATGGGCTGAAAGGAAGCATAGTGAGCAGGTTTTGGTTAATCTTTGACTTTTCCAAAACGGTGGTTATTAAGCAAATGTTCTGTTCATTGTCCACTGTTGGAATATCATCTTTTGTACTTCAAGTATTGGGAATCTGAGACATAGATGCATAAAGATAATGGTTTTCTTTTACTTTTTAATTGTGTAATATCATTCAGACCAGCCAGTATGTGGGCACGTATTTTGTGATTTTGATATAACAGATTGCTTTTAAGTAGTAACTGTCAGGTAGATGACTTTCCTCCCTGCATTTCAGCCCTCCCTTCTAGATCCGTTTCTGTGGATGAGTCCAGGCCTGAGCTGATTTGTAGACTGGCTGTGGGAGCTTTCTCAGTCTCGGTCCTTCACGTCGATCCTTTATCTCCACCAGAATCGTCCTTGGACCTCAACCCATTGACGTCCATGGCCGTAGCTTTCTTTACTTGTATAGAAAAGATCGATCCCGCAAGATTTTCAACAGAAGAATTTAAGTCTTTACGAGCAGTGTTTGCGGAAGCTTGCTCACATGATCACCTTAGGTAAGCACTCGCACGTTTTTAATGAGCCTTGGAGAAGGACTCTTGTTTTCGTCTCTCTCTGTCTGCATTTCTTTGTCTAATGCTCATCTTATTTGTGAACAAGGGAGTTTCCTTACTGTGCTGCCAAGATGTCTAGTGTCAGATCTCCCACGCAGGACTTTGGCGTGTGGTCTAGATTGAGAGGGAAGCCGTGGGTCATCTGGGGTTTTCTAAATGATCCTCCCCTTAGCTGCTTGCCCTGCTGTGGTCGTTTCTTCACCACGTTCTGCCGTTATTCCTCTGACACCATTACAATCACGGAAACAATGTTATTGCCAGCGACTCTTAGTGGCTGTGACAGCATGGGCGGGAGTAGAGTGAGCTGGTGAAAAGGGATGTGGCCATGACCCACACGCGTCGGACACTGTTTGGGGAGTAGGACCAAGGCCGCACTGAGCTGGGATGCCACGTTTTCAACTTCTGCTGAAGAAAAGCCAAACAGGCCTGATAGCCTACGTCCCCCATAATCCTAATAGATAAGGAGATAATTAAATTTGTGAGTTAATATTGCTAGCAGGAAAATACTGTTTAAGTAATTAAGTAACGTGAAAATTCTCTATAAACTGTTGAATTGTATCTTATTCGATGGTTTAGACAAATATCTTAATTTTTTTAAGGAAAAATTTTAGTCTTTTAGTTGCAACTTTTTCAAAAACATGAAAATTAATATGCAGCCTAGGAAAGAACCTCTGTGTGTTAAGACAACTGTATTTCTAATCAAACACTAAGGAAAGCATTTTCTTCCCATCTTTAACAAAGTTTCAACTCTGCCTGTGACATGTGCTTTTAGATAATTTTAAGAAACTATTTCATGTGTTTTACAGATGTGAAGGTTTGTGCTTTCTGTGCATTTTAAAATGTGGAGGCAGGAAGGGCATGCGGGGCAATCCCTGTACCCTGGGTCATTCCTCTCAGCCGGCGAGGCGGTCTTTACGCTTTGTGTCGGTGAACTGGGCATCAGAAGCAGCCTCGTGTTCATATTCTTAGGAATGTTGTCCTTGCTGAGAACTTGGCTTGCTGGAATAGGTGGATAATTATACTTTCACACTTGGTGCTGTTCTTGAATACTTAAAGTGGCTCTTCTGATCTGGGGGCATGTGGACACTTCTAAATGCCGTGTTTTTGTACTAGATTTGTAGGCACCGGCATCCGAGTCTCCTACGAGCAAAGACAAAGACCGGCCTGCAGAAGCGTCAGTGCTGACGTGGCCGTCGGGCAAGGGGAGCTCGTGGAGTGCCTGTTCCCGAGTGACGGGCTCTCTGCCTGCCCTCACTACACAGAGGTAAAGGTGGACCACTGCCCCTTTCTTTCTCAGGGTTGGAGGAGGGACAATGACTTTCTGAGGACTGTGTGGGAGCCTGGAGGGAATGCTGCTTCTGTGTGTGTTTTGTGGGAATGTATTTAAGTGCGACACTCAAGGCCACGTGTGGGAGTCTGTTCCTCTTGAGCTGACTTGTTTTCGAGTGCAGACAGGCTACAGGACAGATGACTTTTCCAGGCCCTCTTAAGTTCGGAAGAGTTATGTTGGTGGGCACCTGCTGTCTGCTGAGCACCGTTGGAGTCAAGTGCAACATCTGGATTTCATTTATCAGTGATCTGACTTATCTCCTATCCTGACAGGGCGCCTTAGAGAAGCTTCTTGAAGCTGTCAGAATAGTGCCGTTGCAGTTGCACTGCCCTTGTGTGTGGTTCAGTTTCCAAAGTACGTTTGTGGTTATTGCTAACTGCCTACGCAGTGGCTTCCTTCTTTCAGCGCACTCTCGCGGGTGTTCCCTGGCTGGACTTTGTGGATTTACGCAGCAGGTCATTTGCTTGGACCTCACCCATATTTGCCAGATGAGACGCTAAGGGTCACAGAGATTCACTAAGGGTCATGGGTTCACATGATGGAATGTGACAACAGAAACTTAAAGCCAGCTTTTCTGACTGCAGACAGCTTTTCTCATTACTCTGTTGGCACCTCTGCAAGTTCCTCAATGTCTGATAACAGTTTACTGTTTTACATTTCTCTGCATCTTTGTTTTGCAGCTTTTAATGTTCCCTTCCAAAGATGGGGCGGACCCGCAGCCCCCTGCAAGCCTTCAGCTCTACTACAAGCACTCTGAAAACAAAGGGCCTCAGGTAAGCTGCCTGTCAGTAAACCAGGCCCCTGGAAATTGTCATTTGATAACTATGTTGCCATGATTCTAAGGCTTTATACTGGTTTTGTGGTATTTTCATGGTCATGTTTATGCCTTTTTCTTTTTAAAAGGGTAGTCAAGCAAGACTTAGTTCAGTTCCTCATAAAGCAGAATTACAAATTAAATTAAATCCTGTGTTTTGTGAACTGGACATCAGCATTGTGGACAGGTTAAATTCCTTGCTTCAACCACAGAAACTTACGACAGTGGAGATGATGGTGTCTCACATGTATACGTCATACAACAAACATATTAGTCTGGTAAGTGTTCAGAAGTTGCAGACATTGATCCTAATTACAATTGCTCAGGGGGCACTGTGGTTCAGCATCAGCTACTAACAGAAGGGCTGGCTGATTGGAACCGCCAGCACCTCTGCAGGAGGAAGATCAGGCAGAGCTATAAAGACTCTACAGTCTCCTGTGAAGACTGCTGTTGTTGTTAGTACATCAAGTCTGTTTCAACTCATAGTAGCCCTGTGCACAACGGAACAAAATACTGTGCCATCCTCGTGTCCTTGCTGGGTTTGAGCCCATCACTGCAGCCGCTGTGTCAGCCCATCTCATTGAAGGCCTTCCTCTTTTTTTCTGACCCACCATTTCACCAAGCATGATGGATGCCCTTCTCCAGGGACTGGTCCCTTCTGATAGCATGTCCAAAGTGCACGAGATGAAGTCTAACCACCCTCCCTTCTGAGGAGCGTCCTGACTTGACTTCTTGCAAGACCATAAAGGTCACAGCCTAGGAAACCCTGGGAGGCAGTGCTGCTCTGTCACAGTGGGTCCCTTTGGGTCAAAATCAACTCCATGGCACCTAACAACAAGAACGTGGACTTGTGGGATGATTTCTGAGCTTCAGTGCTCTTACTAAATTAAACAGCATATATTGTCATAGCAGTATTACTGTAGTGATGAAAACATGGAGACTTGTGTCTCAATAGTAGACTAGCTAATAAGTTTTGACAAATTCACTGAATGGAATTTTATGTGCCTGTTTTAAATGGTAGTAGGACGATGGTGCAGTGCCATGAAGAAGGCTCAGGGTGCAGTATTAAGTGAACAAGCAGCTTAGTAGAGTGGAAGGTCAGTAGCAAAGAGGAAGACCCCTCACAAGGGGGATTGACACGGTGGCTGCAGCAATGGGCTCAAATATAGCCAGGAGCGTGCGGAAGGACCGGAATGTGTTGTTCTGTTGTATGTGGGGCCGCTGTGAGTCAGAATCAACTAACACCTCCCTGACACCTAGGTGACACCTAACAACAGTAGCAATGATCCCACATAAGCTTTTGCACAGCTTTATAAACAGAATCAGTGTCTGGGAAAAGAAAGGATAGGAATCGGCTGCTCAGTGCCATTGACTGCGTTAGAATTAGGGTTCCTCTCCTTCTCTGTGTTTATCGGAATTTTATGAACTGCAATTGCGTATTATGTATGTGTGTGTGTGTGTGTGTATATATATATAATGCTGCTGTTGCTGTTGTGTGCTGTCGAGTTGGCCCCAACTCATAGCGACGCCTCCTTGGGTTGCTGAGGCAGTATCATTATGGAAGTAGATCACCCAACCTTCCTTCTGAGGAGTGGCTGGTGGGTTTGAACCGCCAGCCTTCTGGTGAGCAGTCAAATGCCTTAGGCATTACGCTACCAGAGCTCCTGTATGTATGTGTGTGTGTATATATATAATCATAAATATGAAATTTTTTCTCTTCACACATTTTAAAAAGCTACTTGACGCACCTATGCAATGTAGCCAGGGTGACAGGCATCCTGTAACTGAGCGTTGGTCCTGTCACCTTGTGGAGCTCTGGTGCCTGGAGTCTTGTCTGGGTAAATCAAGTCTGTCACACTTGCAGAGCTTTGTCAGGAATTTTGGGGCTGGACCTTGGGGTCGTAGGACCAGACACAGACACAGGTAGCAACAAGTTTGGTTTTAAAAAAAAGAGAGAGAAAAGAGATTTTATTTTTCTACTTACTTGCGGATGATACAACTTTGCTTGCTGAAAGTGAGGATGACTTAAGGCACCTACTGATGAAGGTTGAAGAATACAGTCTGCAGTATGGATTACATC